AATTTCAGACGACATATAAGTAAGGCTGGCATTTTAAATTGAAAATGGAGATTTCCCAAAATAGGACCAAATAGAGTTTGGAATTCCAAAACAGGATTCTTATATTTTTCTTCCCGAAATAGGACTAAGATCGATGACAGTATTTACTACCATGTTTTAGTCCTGACTGCCAAATAGTTGCAGTACTGTGCATTTAACATGACAGTATTTATTATAATTAATGGCAGTATTTTTCAATCATGACAGTAACGACTCCTATTTCGGGAAGAAAAACATAGTGGTCCTATTTTAGAATTCCTAAAGTTATTTACTCCTATTTAGGACAATTTCCCAATTGAAAAACGGAAAACCGAACTAAAAAAACCGAACCGAAAAAACCCGATTTGAACGGAATCCGAAAGTCGAGACCTGAACATGAATCTATCAGTTTAAAAACGATTTTTTGAGATTTAAAATCGGTTCAAAGAGAACCAAATTTTATTAAGAGATAATTATCATTTATTCTGTAGCAAAGGAAATTAATGTAATAAGTTTAAGTTCTACTATTAACAACTTGTTGTTGTGGTTCAGTGGTCTAACATTATGTGCTCGTGTCCTAAGTTTCTCATTGAGAAAATTGTCCAGAATGAGACTCTTTCATAAACTTTTGATCTAAATAGGACCTGCTTAAAAATTTTACATCCGTAGATCTTACTTAATCCTAGTTTAGGAAACTCTAATTTGACTTACCTAAAATACCCCTGATTGTTTTTTAATCATAATAGACTTTCGCCGCTTTTAATATCCTTCCGCTTTTATTCCTTCTGGTGTGCTAACGACTTAACCGCCTACCGCTTCGTCCATGGAAGGAAACACGATCCTTAGCTCGATCTTCTTCAAACTTCTTCTGGAGTTTCGCTGTCTAATTTGCATCACTAATTCGAATTCAATCTCCAACAATTTCGACTCAGTGTCTTTATTCCGAGAGGAGTTAGCTGCAAACTTCCGATTGAGCTTCATCACAATTTGTGGCCCGTTTCTTCTGCGACTTTGTCTTTGTAAGTTTGTATGTTGTGTGTTCTGATTACGGTTTTGTGTTCGTTTTTTCAGAATTACATTGTTTATGAATTTCGTCATTTAGTTTTCTTCACACTCTGAAATTATATTCCTATGGTTTATTGTGTACAACACTTCGAGATTATTTGGACGTTTTATCACTTCTGTGTACTGCACTTAGACATTCTTCTGCATCAATAGATTTGAAGTTCATAGTACATGAGTTTGTGTATTAGTGTTCTGTCTATAGTTCGTTAAATATGACTTTATTACTATTTTTGTTTTTGCTTCTTTTCTTAGTTTTTTTGGCATTTATTTTTTCATACATGACTACATTATATATTTATCTGTTTTGTAATCACAATTACTTATTCACATCAATGTATTATGTAATGAGTTCAATAGGATATTTGAATTGATTTATCTATTTTTGCTCAGATCAAAACAACATGTTGATTATGCTAAAGGTGGATGGAAGTTGGGATGAATCCTATGTTTTCTGTAATAAACGAACTTGTGGTCTCATAGTTCCAGATGAGACATTGTATGTTCGTTTTATTGCTTTGGTGTATTCATGCATTGGTGCATTTGCTATGAATGAAAAGTTGAAGATGAGTTATTTGGTTGAAGAATGTCCTCCTCCAGTGGTTGTTAATGATGATTACAATTTTTGCTTTTATTTGGCTCTTAAAAAATCACAACCTGATTATGCCAAATATCCTTTGTGTGTTGAGTTGTTTCCACTCTCTGTGTCTACTGCTTCCCACTTCTCTTCACAACTTCCTGCATTTGATTTAAATGTGGTTGCAAATGATGAATTTGATGATCTTGAAGACACTTCTATCATGCATCATCACACATTTGATATTTCTTCTCCTCAAACTGAAGATATGTCTTTGGATATGTATGCTACGAATGCTGATATTTCAGTTCAGTGTGATGATACAAATCCATTACCTACACACATTTCTGGTTCTAGCAATGCAGTTTCTTCACCTACTTCTTCAGGCAGTGAAGATCTTGCTGTTAATGAACACTTTGATTTAGACTATTTTCATGATTTTCAAGATAATCAAGTAATCTGTCACTTTCATCCTACTCGTATTGCTATAGATGCTATCTACCAGGATAAGAAATCATTAGCCCGTCATTTGAAGATGTATGTCATTTTAAATCTTTTCCAATATCAAACAAGGACATCAACTAGAAAAGTCTTGCATGTTGTTTATGTTGATGATGAGAATTGTGATTGGGTTGTACGTGCAGTGAGGTTGAGTGGATGTCAAATGTTTCAAATAAGAAGGTAATTTATTCATTTGTGCTACTCAACTAAAAATTTACAATCTGATTTTTTATTATTTTTAACTTATTGTCTAATCACTGTCTTTTTAATGACTACTTGCTGTTGTACACCTTCCAGATTTGATTCTGTGCATACATGCTCACTTGATGTGAGACAAGGTCCCCACCGCCAAGCTACCACAGAAATTATTGTTGAACTCATCAAACACAAATATGCGGATGCATCTAGAAAACCTTATGCTCCGAAAGATATTATTGTTGATTTAAATAGAGATTATGGTTTGACTATACCTTACAAGAAAGCTTGGCTTGCAAACAAGAAAGCTCAAGAAAAGTTGATGGGTTCAGATGAACAATCATATCAATTGTTACCCTCCATTGCTTATGTTCTTAGAAAGAAACATCCTGGTTCATTGATTTTGTTAGATGTTGGGGCACATAATCGGTTTAAGTCTTTCTTCATGTAGTTGGATGCATGGATTCCAGACTGGAAGCATTGTGCTCCGGTTCTTATAATTGATGGCTCATTTATGAAAGCGTATTACAAGCTAGACTGCATGTGCTCTATTAATGGATAAGGGTACTCTATTGACTGCATGTGCTCAAGATTCTAACAACCATATTTTCCCTTTGGCTTTTGGTGTGTGTGATACTGAGCGAAGGAAAACATGGACTTGGTTTTTTATGAAACTGAAGGAGTGTCTTGCATATAGGGAGGACTTGTATATTGTTTCAGATCGTCACGATGGTATTATACATGCAGCAAAAGTGGTGTTTCCGCATGCTGAACACGGCTACTGTGCGTACCATATCCTAGGAAATATTAGATCAAAGTTCTAGGGGTCTACTACAGGTCTTGCATGGAAGTTTAATCAAGCTGCTAGGGCTGCCACTCCTACTCAATTTGAAGAGTATATGGCTTTATTAGATGCAGAAGATCCCCGTATTCGTGATTATTTGAATGAAATAGGTGTTGAGAAATGGGCTCACTGTTTTGCTACTCGTTCTAGGTATTCTATAATGACATCTAACAACGCCGAGTCAGTGAATTCAGTGGACCGTGTGCCTCGTGAGTATCCTATAGCAAAACTGATAGACTTCTTGCAGGGAAGGATGCAAAAATGGTTTTGTGAACGTCGTGATTCTTCATCAAGTTGTAAAACAATTCTGTCTGCCCATTTTGAATCTCAACTTCGTTCTTATCATGCCGAGGCAGCTCTTATGAGTGTAAGTCTCAACTTCGTTCTTACCTTCTGCCTTTTATTGCATTGTTATCTTTTTGTTCTTATCATCTTTCTACACTCATGTTTTAAGTGTAACTAATGTTAGCAATTTTTTCCTTGTTTTAGGTCAATCCTGCTAGTCAATATGAATTTGAAGTGGTGGACAAAACATCCAGAAGCTTTGTTGTTAATTTGAAAGACAAAACATGCTCATGTTGTGAATTTCAACTAGATCACTTTATATGTGTACATGGAGTTGCAGTTGTAGGTCATCGTCGAGGTTTATCGTGCTATGATTACATCTCAAAGTTTTATTTCACACGTGAGTGGGTTGCTGCTTATATAGGGGAAGTTCACCCTCTTGGTTCTCAGTGTGATTGGGGTGTTCCTGCTTCCGTGGCATCTGAAATCTGCAAGCCACCTACATGTGTCACACGCCAACCGGGTAGACCTAAGAAGAAGCGTATTCCTTCAATTGGAGAGTTTGGTTCCAGGCAGCGGTGTTCACGGTGTAAGAAGGGTGACCACAATAAGAAGTCTTGCAGGAATCCTATCCCAGTCCGTGCTACATAGTTTTATGTGCTTTTGTTTTTTCCCCTAAACAAGCAATAAACAATTGCAAGACATTTATGCTTTTATTCATCATTATTGTTAGCTGCCACGATTTGTTGGCATTGTATTCTATGTTCATTGGAATGGTATTTTGGCGTTTCATTATATTTACTTTTGTTTTGAGTCTTTTGTTATTCATACTGACTTTATTGATTGTTAAAAGTAAAATGCAACCAAGTTGCTGCTGCGATGAAACTTATTGTCTACTTATGTACTACGTAATGTCTAGACGAAGACCATAATTACACTCTTTTGTTAGTGAATCTCTAAAAGTGACATCTGTAATTGTCCCTTGCGGTTTGTCTTTTTTTCTTTACTAGTATGAATCAACTATCATAGACCTTGCTTTTGCATGGACACTAAAATTACTTATACACAAAAGTGAACAATAGCACCAAGGAAGTTCACTATTGTGTTATTGTAAGCTTCTTCCTCACATGTTCAACAATCTTCATAGCTGGATGGTATTATGAGTCATCATGAAGCATATTCTTGAGTAAGATGTTTGAGAAATCAAATACTCAGAAAAAAATATCATTGAAATGTAACGTTTATGACTTGAAGTTTTAATGTCTAGAACTGAGATATTAATGACTAATTATTGTCCAATTATGGACTTTATCAAATACTTTAACCATATTTCGCAAAACAACTTCACAGTAAACACAGGCTAAAAGCAAACAAGCATCACATATGGTGCTAAAAATGTAGATTACACATAGTCAAACCAACTGTCTTGAATACTTAGTAACAATACTTAATGACCAAAACATTTGACATTTTAGAAATATTTTTGTTCCCAACAAAATATTTATTACAAAGCATTTAGTCCAACTACTGCCTTCGTGATGCATACATCAGTATCTCTGTAGTCATCTTTTGTCGGTACATCTCTATGTCTTGCCTTGAAACTTCACTCACATCTTTGTCCATCATGAGAAACTCAGCAAATTTGATAATAAAGACACCACAGTTGCCCCTGTAAATGCATAAGTATTAAATATGAAGTTAAACATTTATGCTGTATTCAGATATGTGAAGAATAGTTAAATTATAACATGACGTACCCATCATCTTGTTGTGGACAATTACGGACTATATCTACACGAATTTTGCCCTTTCCAATTTGTGCATTCGGTCTTTTGTCATAAACTCCCAACCTCTCCATTACTCTTGGTAAGAAGGTCTCCAAGCAAGGAAGGAATGCCCTAATCGTTGCCAAGGAATCTCCTCTTCTCTTTAGGGAGTCATAGACTCTGATACGCTTTCCATTAATGTCCAACACCAAGAGTATCCAGTGCATCCCTATGTTCAGTGGCATGTATACAAAGTCAGCTTCTGCCCATGGCAACCCATTTGATCCAAGCATTGTGTTCATTATGTTTCCATTAGAAGCTGCCTCAGTCATTGTTGTTTTGTCATTAGTGACCATTTCACACTTCAACTTCATCACCCCAATAAATAATGGGTCTGTTGTGGCATATTTTTGCTTGATTTGGTAATGTTTTCTTTTCACTCCCAGATAATAAAATGTCACTGCAATATGCTGAAAAAAGTAACAAAAACAATTAATTAATGATTTTTATGCATCATATTATTAAAATTTACACGTGACATATGTTGATATAAACTTACCATGTCAGACAACCAACGTTCATTTGTGAAGAGGTCATAAATCCATGTCTTTGTTGGTATGGTGAAATGATCTAATTGTATACCAAACTTGCATTCAACTAGTTCTTCATGTTTTTTTTTTGTACTTTTTGGGGACATTACTTGAATGGTTTTTTACCAGGCCCTCCATCACAAATTCTTTTACCTTATCCAAGTCCTCTGTAGGTGGCATTTGCTTTGGATCCTCACTGAATGGTCCTTCAACTGTACTCTTCTCAGAAACTTGTGCTTCATTTTTTTTTAATGCCTTTTCCATTTTCCTTTTCTTCATTTTTGTTGTGGGGTTAGGAGTGTATCTATCAGGACTCCTAGCTGCCCTTTTTGACCTTTTAATGCCCTTATCTTCTTCTGCAATTTGAACTTTATGTCCAGCCTGTGCATTTACAACTTCCTCATCAGTTCAAAAATTCACTTTATCAATCATGCTGTCTATTCTACTTTCATTTTGAACTTTTGAAATTTAAAGTAACTACTTACCTTATGTTTAGAATTGTGAGCATCCATGTTCTCTTTATTTCTTTCATCACATTTATGTGATTCACTGTCTGCTTCAATGTTCTGTTCTTCATCTTGTTCAGGAGTTGTTGTTTCTTTTGAGTCACCAGCATCAACAGTCATTGCTTCATCTTCCTATAATAACATAATAAAAATGATCAAGTCAATCATTACATCAATATATTTATTACACAAATAGCAATTACCTTTGTTTGCTTCAAGTCCTTAATGACATTATGAATGACGTTGTCAACATGCATTTCCAAATCTTGTGTGTTTATGCTTGCTTGAGCAGGAGTGAGTATCATGTCATCTTTATAGATTGCTGAATTCTCTTTTTGGGCACATATGGGATTTGCATCCTCACTTCCAAGTTCTTTCTTATCCTCAATGCCTAGACCTTCAGCCATCTCACTGCTTATACCACCTTTTGCCTCCTCACTTCCTAAACCTTTTGCCTCCTCACTTCCTAGACCTTCTGCATCATCCTCACCGCCTAGACCAGCTTCATTATTTTCCATGGTTCTTTCCTTCTCTTTCTGTGTTAGATCCAGATGTAGGTCAAAACTTGGTATATCTGAGACCAAAATTGATTTATCTATTCCTCCTTCTGATGCTTCATGAATCTGCACATGGATTTCTTCTTCGCTCTTTTCACCTTCTGCATTTCCAGTGCTTTTAAGCATTAAAGCTTTCAGCATCTTTGCCTGCTGCTTTTGCCCTTTCAGAACTTCTTGTATTCCATCTTCAATTGTTTTCATTCTCTCTCAAACTTTTGCATCTTCTTTGATTGGAGCACCACTGCAGCCATTATGTTACGCATGATTGTTGCATCTCTGCTTTGGTTGCCAGCACTTTTTTTTTTCTTTTAATCAAACTATTTAACCTCTTTAGTCCAATTGCAGTTGGACCCTTGGCAATTTGTTCCTTCAAGTCAGTATCTTCTTCATTAGGGCAATCAATCTGTGCTACTTCAGACTCCTTTTCGTGAACATCCCCATTTTCTTCTTTACTCCCTCCCACAGAAACATTTCTTTTCTGTTTTGCTGGCCCACGTTTCAAAGTAAGACGACTTGTTCTGATAGGCTTATTGACCTTGTTTGCATAAAAATCATTTATCAATGGATTCTTAAGCTCGTCTTCAGTTGGTACCATTTTCTGATATTCAAACTGCAGTACATAAGAGAAATTATGCATACAATAAGTTAGTCCACATCATAAAGCATGAATTTAAATTACATATAATACAGACATTAAAAACAATTTTACCTCTTCATTCAGAAATATGACATCTGCTAGTGTTGCAACATTAGTTTTCTTTGGTGCAGACCACTTCAGCAATCTAGGAAACAAATCTTTCCTTTCTTCCTCTAACTGGCAAACATGTGCCGTTCTAAGAGCTAGGAAACTTTCAAATGCCCATATTTGCAATGCAAAGACAAAACCTGGAAATGTGAATCTGTCTTTTGTGGCCCTTTTAATATTTTCTGTCCACTTAGGCACTTTTTCCAATAAATCTTCCCAGATTTCATCTCCCCAAGGGTACTGGTTCACTAAATCAAGATTATCTACCATGTTGATGTATATTGCTGGGCATTTCACTGTCTTTTGGTTTCCAATTATGTAATTGGAAATCAGGTCAAGAATAGCCAGTTTTACCCCATCTAAGGGTTGCTTCTCTACAAGTATATTATCGAACTCTTCAAAATCTCTGCTTATGTCAGCCCTTGTAACATTACTTCTTCCATTGAAAAAATCTTCTCTATATGTCACCTATTACATTTGTGGGTATTATTGTTTTCTCTCCTCCCATCTTGAATCCCGTTATAAAGGCCAGTTGTTCCTTTCTAAAAGCTACCAACCTATTTCCTATATTAAAGTAAATTCGGTCTTCCCAAGTCTTCTTGTTAACCTTTTTGACATGATTTTCTACAAGCAGAACAAGTAGTTGTCCATTCATCCACTCTAGGTTACCTATTTCCAGCAATCCACCAAATGTGCTTTTTCTTAATTCTTCAAGTTGGTCCTCCTTTAATAGCTTCCTTATGTTTTCAATGGCAGTATGTACATTTGAATAACAGTTTAACTTTAACTTCTTCTTGGTCATAAGAACAGGGTTTGTGCAAGATCTAACAATTGCCTGACATTTTAATATTAATAATTTCTATAAGTACTATAATCATAAGGAATAATTGGACAACAATACTCAATTTATAAATTTGAATTTACTGTCTTATAGCACAACTCATATATTGTGTAATGTAACATCAAATGCTTCATACCTTAAGTCATATGAAATAAATGATATGTTAATTGTTGCAATCATGTATGAACAAAATCAAATAAGGTATAAAATATTCAGTATTTACTTGAACTAAAATATTGACTATTTACTTGAACTCAAATAACACATCTGACATCAACATTACTCTACGAACATTTGATTCATCATTTCAGATAAACATTACTTCTACTTTGTTTGTAAACAACATATGTCAATATAATTGTTTACGAAATTTATATTACTTTTCTCTAATGAAGTCATTGAATACATTACCTGACCAAATGGAAGTATAATTTCCTTCTCCTTCTCCGTTTTGCTGGGACTTGGCATCTTTGTGTCGAAGTCGCTTTCAGAGTTTTCTTCCTTTTCTACGTTTTCAACGTCTGCCATTACTGCCTAAAATTGCTTTCAGTTCGTCGTTTTCAGAGCTTTCGGTTCGTCGGAATGCTTTTCGTTGGTCCTCAAAACTTGCTTGTTGTTCGTCCGTAGTACTCAGTTCGCGTTTTCCGTTGAAGCTTTCTGCAGATTTGGAGACGTTAATTGAAATGGGGTTGCCGTTTCAAGTTGGGCTCACGATTGTAGTTGGGCCTACGGTTTGAAAGGAGTCCTTTAGTCCATTTGGCAATTTAAAAGTAAGGGTTAAATGGTCATATCAACTCAACTTAAGTCCTATGCGTAGATGTAGTCCTACTTTTAGAAATTTCCTATGTTTATGTCCTATTTGTCAAACTTTCCCGTTTCTCATTAGAGTTATGTGCGTTGATAGTACTCCCTACGTCCCATTTTGGTTGTCCTACTTTCCTTTTTGGGTTGTCCCAAAATAAATATCTTGTTTCCTTTTTTGGCAAGAAATATGTGGTCCTTATCATTTTACTTTATTCTACTCAAATCTTAACCACAACTTTTATTTTTCAACAACTTTATTAATAATCGTGCCAAATTGAAAGTAGACAATCAATATGGGAGGGATGCAGTATTATTTATGAATATCAGTAGAACTTGCCTTTTGTGGATAGCCTACGTGTTCTTGAACTTGTTACGCGTGGCACTACTCATACAGAGACATGTGTCAAAAAGGACGTGGTGCCATGGAATATTCTGAAGTGGCTTGCACCCCGACACGTGGCTAGCACCGAGTTCATGCGTGGCGAAAACGGGCGGGTCAAAGCACGAATGTTGAAATCATGGCTGACGTTTACTTTTTTCTCCATCCTGCCGCGTTATTCTGTCAGGCGCCATCCGAAATCAAAGAAGGTCAATTCCAGGTTCATTCTGAACCCTCCGCTCCAATGACGCGTAGTGATGGCTGCGGAAATAGGATTCCGTATTGAAGAGCCGGGTCGGAAATTCCTCCCGGATCATATATACCCACCTACCCATACAGAATTGGAAACAAAAACCATTTCTTTCAAGATTGGGGCAGTTTTATAACAGAAGGTACAATGATACATCACGTAGTTGCAGTGCTTCTTCTCCTCTGGCTGCTCAATTCCTTCAATTCCTGCCACCCTTTTGCTTATTTTATCTCCATAGTGTATATCTTTTTGGTAAGCATAATCATTCACTCATCTATGTTATACGGAGAAATGTTTGATTGTGTTTCTACTTTAGAGTTAAATTACTGATTTTGATGATCATTACGATATTTGAAGATTCATGAGAACTATGTTACTAGATTGAGGAGGAGACTGCAGTTTGAGGAAAAGAAGCAGTCTTATCAAAGACGGGTGATTTTCTCTCACTTTCTCTCTGATTTTCATATAAAGCTTTGAGTTTTAAAGGTTAAGGTAATGGAAAGTGAAAGTTAAAAAAAGCTCTTAATCTAGTCAAACTTGAATTGGGTTTGGTCGGGTTTTCAAGATTAGAATATTGGGTTTTGTGTTTGTTCTTTAGGATTGGAAATTGACCCTTTGATGCATTGTAAACGGGTTTTCTTTGTCCTCTTTCTTTTCTCCAGGTTCTATCTGATTCAGAAAGTGTAAGATGGTTGAATCACGCTCTAGAGAAACTCTGGCCTGTTTGTATGGAGAATATTGTCTCTCAGAAATTTCTCCTCCCCATCATACCATGGTTCACGCAAAAATATAAGCCCTGGACAGTGGTAAGGCTTCTCTTTAATTATTCGATTACTTATCTAATAACTTCTCATTATTAGTGTTGATCTGAAGTTAGTTTTCCGCCATTAAGTTTCTGTGCCTTTTAACTTCATCTAAAGCTTATGATGTGTCTTCAAATTTGATGAGTATCCTTTTGTTAGATAACAATAGTATAATTGTAAACATAGTAATAAGTAATAACATATACTTTTTTCTTCTCTACATGCAGAAGAGTGTTGTTGTTCAGCACTTATACTTGGGAAGATGTCCACCTATTTTCACAGAAATGAGAGTTCTTCAGAATTCTACAGGCGATGATCACTTGGTTTGTCTCTCTCATTTCAGCATTAACATTTATCAAGGGTGGAAATTTGGCTCAATATTTGTAAGGTTAAAATAACAAAGGTTTAATGCGTGCCAAAATATGAGTCTTCAATGAAACAAATGTATAATAACTGAATCATGTACCTAAATGCAATATTTTCCCCAACTAAATATTTTAATGCTTAGAGTGGCGATCCAATTCTCAACTTCAGACTTAGGAAGGTGTTTATTAAGCTTAGATGATTTAGTTTAAAGTAAAGGTTTACTCACTTAACTCGTAAATGATAAAAAAATCATCTGATATATCTCTTCTAAGTTTCATTGGTTGAAGTTGTTAGGAATTTAACTCACGCAATACAAAGAACAATAACAAAGAACATACGAAATTTTGTAACCCAGTTCGCCACGCCACAAAGGACTACGTCTGGGGCGCTACCAAGCCAGGATGTTACTATTATTTTCTGATAATGATTACAAGCAGAGAGCTTGTATTTATAGAGAGTAAAACCTAACCCCAATACTATTAAGACGTGCGGCCCGACCAGTACAAAACTCGCGGCCCATATACAAAAGGATCCAAAAAAAAAATTCGGCTGCAGTTGGATCGACCCCCAAATTTCGGCCCCCAATACTAATGTAGTTGGATCGACGGAATTGGCTTGGTTATACAGTCTCTAACACCTTACACCTTACAGAAGCTTCTTTAAAAAGAAGTTTAGAAGTTAGTTTTTCCCCCTTTTTGTTAACTGTTGTTTTTTATTTGCACTTGCTGCATAATAAACTAAGCTCTTTTAATACATTACACTATCGGTTCTTGGTTTTCAAGTGCTTATTGACTTTGTTCATTAAATAAACAAAACACGATTTATTAATAGAGAAGCAAAGATAAAGAATCTCATAAAAATTGAGGAACATTGAACTCATGAAGTTAACATAAATTTGGAAGAGCCTCTGTATAATTAATTATTCCGTATTTCATATGAAGTAATGAAAGTGAACCGATCCCCCTATACCTGTATGTTGCATGAAGTGATAAATTTTAATCTCTAATATTTTTTTGCCCCCCCCCAAGGTCCTATAGAAACAGTACTAGTCACTCATAGTCATCTATATTATAAATTTGGTCCACCGTCCACACACACATTCAGTTTCTTTATTAAACTTCTGTGCACATTTAGCGCAGGCCTTGGAGTTGGGAATGAACTTCTGCACTGAGGATATGAATGCAGTTCTAGCTGCGAAATTGAAGAAAAGATTGGGTTTTGGGATGTGGGCAAAAATGCACTTGTTAGGCATGCATGTTGAGGGGAAGGTAATCCTGAAAAAGTAACTTTTATCTCATACCAAATGTACTCTTTGTTATGTTTACCAAAATGTACTCATTGTTATGTAGGTTTTGGTAGGTGTGAAGTTCCTACCCTACTGGCCATTTATTGACCGTTTGAGGGTTTGCTTTGCTGAGCCACCTTATTTTCAGATGACTGTGAAACCTATTTTCACTCATGGACTAGATGTTACAGAAGTCCCAGGGATTGCTGGTTGGCTGGTAGTGCATTTAAGCTTTGCTTTGTCTTCCCTTTATGTTTCATATCAGTTTTTGTGTATTTGTTGAACTTCTATGTATGTTTATTTAGGACAAACTTTTGGCCCTTGCTTTTGAGCAGACTCTTGTTGAGGTATGAAGTTGTTTTCTCTCTCTATATTAGCATAATAGCATGTCATCTCATAGTCTCCCCTCAATATCCCCCCCCCCCCCCCCCCCCGGTATGTTTGTCAGAAAAGTGCCACACTGGCACATTCTATGTCGCTTTCCGTTTGTGCACTCCATGCGCTTTAATATGCCAGGATGCTACGAAGTGCAAAGAATATAAGATGAATGACATCCATAATTGTTTTGCAGCCAAACATGCTAGTTGTTGATGTAAAGAAATTTGCCTCGCCACAACCAGGTACAAGACACTACTAATTCTTTGCAGCCTGCCTTTTGCATTTTGTATTGGCGCACACAAACGCATATGTATATAGCTATGTGTATATATGCGTGTGTTAGAGAATTTTGTTCAAATTGAAAGTTCTGATTAGGTGAGAAATGAGAACTAATCCGATCCCTTCATTAGCAATATGGAAGGATGAAGTTAGTTTCAAGGCCCAAACACAGTAGCAAGATTAAAATATGGAGGACTTTTGATTAGCATGTGGTGGCAAAAAGTTCATCATTGTATGCAATTATGCATAAAGTGCACTTAGTTTATTACAATGTCCACGTGTTTTGATAAAATCTAATCCATCCATTTTTAGGTGATGAAAGGTCAAGATTGTTCTCATTCTTCGTGGGAAAGTAGTTTACATTTTGACCCCCCCACACATATTTTACACACACATATATTAATGTATGTGTATCTGTGTGTATATATACATACATTTACACACACATATGTGTGTGCGCGCGCGTGTATGTAATTTAGTTGAGGAATTTTCCTAGCATTGATGGTAATTTCTTCCTTCCCTAAAACAGGTTTTCTTGTGTGGGTATAAAAGTCAGTAAGGCATCTTATGTTCCCCCTTTTTTGCATCTTCAGACAATTGGTTCTCCGTTGATGCTAAGGAAACTGTTGCGCATGTTGTTGTGCAAGTTTTTGAGGCAGCTGATTTGAAGCCATCTGATCTTAACGGTTAGCACTTAGCATACTCTATCTATGAGTAAACTGAATTTAAATGATAAAAGTATTTTCTGATAATGGCAAAAGATGGATCATTTTCAGGATTGGCTGACCCATACCTGAAGGGGAGACTTGGGCCTTACAGCTTCAGGACCAAGACTCAAAAGAAGACACTTACTCCAAAGTGGCAAGAGGAATTCAAAATCCCAGTTTTTTCTTGGGAGTCGCCAAATGATGAACTCAAGATTAAAGTTTTTGATGAAGACCGCTTTATGGATGATCCATTAGGGTTTGTTTAATTCTCCCCATTGTTAACGCTTGAAATATCTCAATTTTTTGTTTTCAGAAGTTTTCCAAGCTAACCACCATAGGGGTATGGTTGTTAAGTCATTGCTGACCGATATCGTTGCATATATTTTCCTTTTTGTGGGTAGTTTTGAACTGCATTTGGTTTATTCAACCTTTATGGTTTATTAGCATTGGTCTAATTCCCCATCATGCAAATAATAATACCAAGCTTCTTTTACAGAGATTGCTGCATAAAAGTTACCGACTTTAGAGATGGGCATCGGCATGATGTCTGGTTGCCTCTTCAGAATATCAAAATGGGAAGGCTTCATCTTGCAGTAACTGTGTTTGAGTATGACAATGACAAAAAGGTACGTCTTTCTCGAAATTATTTTGTGGGTCAAACTGAGACTTGAAATGTTAAATTTCGTCACACTAGATAGCAATATTTTAGTTGTGCAATATGTTTGATTTCAAGTACTTGTTTGACAGCTAACATCACCTTTGGTATGGAGGATGGAAATGAGTATTTATTCTCTTTGGAAAATAATGTGACTCATTCTAGTGTTCGATGGTGGGCTAATATTATTTGGAACATGTAGACTAGTGTTCGGTCCTCGGGAGTGACAAGAGAATATAGTGTAAAGGCTAAACAATATCCCTATTTCCGATAAAAATATTGTCAGTAAATTAATTAATTTTCATATATTGGTCCTAGAACATTTTTCTCTTTTCTTCAATCAACATGGGGAAAAACAATTCGGGGAGGGGCATGGGAAGTTTTATTCCTCACCAAAAACAAGGAAGAAATGACACATCAACCAAACATGAGAGTATTTGTCATTGGGAATAATTAAACGAGGAACATAATAATATTTTTTCTCCCTCCAACCAAATGGGCTGTTAATATTGTCAATACATAAGCCTCTAAGACATGATTAATTAACCAGGATGGAGAACAAATGTGTGACGAAGCAAGTGCTGATGACGAGAAGAATAGAGAATTGTTTGGGAATGATGGAGCTGATGTTGGAGGCTTCTCACCTGAACAACCCGACAAATCCCATAATGCTGGAGACAAGTATGAGCCCATTGATGTCAAAGGGCAAGAAGAGACTGGGATATGGGTCCATCACCCGGGGGTTGAAATCGCGCAAGTCTGGGAGCCAAGGACGGGTAAAGGCAGGACCATTGATGGAGAGAAGTCTGATTCACTGGGGGGGAGTTTCAAGTCAAGCACTTGGGACAGCGATGAAAATGATAATGGACATTCATCGAATCGGTTCCGTAGGGGGTTGAGTAAAATTAGTTCAGTTTTTCACAGGAGTCCCAGATCTCATCCTGATAGATCAAACAACAGTCTTGGTGAGCCTGCCACACCTCCACATATAAATCTCAAGGCAGTAAATGCAAAGAACATTGGCGTAATATATGTAAAAGATGGTGCAAATGCTGCTGCTCAATCACCTGCAAGATCGAAAGCAGAAGATGGTAAAGAATCTCAGGAGGGAGATGAACAAGACAGTCCAACCAAGCGTAAAATGAAGGACAAAGCTAAGAACATGTTGAAGCACGTGGGGAAATCTGCTCACGGCATAAAACATGTTCTTTCTCATAAGGGATCAAGAAAATCAAAAGCGGAGCCTGCTGTGGTGTCCGATTCTTCGGATGAGTCATCTGTTGTGTCATCTGATGATTCCCCACAACAAGCTGTTCATGAAATTGCATCCAAGAATAGGAATTCCGTAGATGAAGTTAGCCTTGAAGATAATCCCATTCCAGGTGACCGAAAACTGAATGAACCGGAAAATGTTACACGTCAATGATGGCATGAGGCAATCAAGACAAAAATGCTTTAAATAGGTTGAAATGTAAAAAAATTAATGGTTTTTATACATTTTCCCCAAGTGATTCTGGTGCTACAGCAATCAATAGTTCTGTCTTTTCTTTGTACGATAAGTTTTGTGTTTGCCTGTCTCAGCCAAAGGCATATATTGATATCAGTTCTTACCATGTGCATGCTCTAAATTACTCGGTCCCCCCTCGGGTATTGGCTCTTCGGTACAGCCTGTTTCAGCCTTTGATTTATAAATGGCTGCGGCACAAAATTAACAGGTCAGATATTTAAGTTTTAATATCAATCCTTTGGGAATGATTCACTTTCATTATTTAAAGATACTTTTGTTTATACAATTGATGTGTTAGTTAGTGTATACTCCGTTTTGGTGCAGCCTCATTTTCCTCGACATGAATGTGCTAGTGTATATACCCGGAGTACTTAGAAAAGGGTTGGATTTTAGATAACGTAGAACCTCAATTGCAGCATCCCAATGATTTGGTCGTGGACATTAGAGTGCATGGAATTGAGCTAAAATACAAACAGTAGAATAACCAAGTTTGGCCTTAATTGGGGTAAGATAAATTAACTGCCAACCAAACAACGATAGAGATATGGATGAGTAAGAAAATGGTTGGAATTCAAGCCAAGTCTATGGTTTCTTAGAATACGAAACACGGGCATACTCCTGTGGTCTCAAAAGACTTGAGAAGCATACAAACAGTTAGTTGGCATTTGCCCTACTGTTTCCAAATAAAAGAGACTCCTCAACCAGTCCAACTGGCTGTACCAAGCAAAATGTACAAACAAAGTGAGGGCATTCTCTCATATTTACCAAAACAGACCCAAATACCTGAATCATGGAAATCAAAGTTTACAACGGTACAGGTCTAAAACGAGATCATACTAACATGATAGATGCTATATAATGAGATTTATATTGGCAACATTCTGTATAACTGTAGGAGCATGCTTGAACTTCATTGTATTTCTTGTATTCCAAATGATGTAGTGTGCTGAATAGAGAATGATAGATAACTGGAATTAATCAAGCAAATAGCAATAGATCTAGGGAAATATGAAGGGAATAGATTGAAAGAGGTTTATTGAACAAGATGAAATCACCGAACGTAAACAAAGCCTTGGGACGGTTCGAGAAGCCCACTCTCCAAGCCTAAATGCCAATTCAATAACAGCCTATCTTATTTAGCTACCTTCCACTTCTATTTATAATAAAAGTCCACGCAGGGACCAACAGACCAATTAATTAGCTATTTGACCCCCCAAGACCCCTTATTCACCCTTATACCCTTTATTAAAATATTGACTAGGCTGATTCCTATCAGAGAAATCTGGACAGCTTTGCTCTTCATCCATTTACCCGAGATAGAAAGGGAAGCCATACTTCGTTTGATGTCCAGCCACTTGCATACGTCCTCCTCGCATTGACAGGATGCACAAATATTTTTCCCATCAAGGTTGAGCAAATTGTCCATCGTGGAATTCTATTTCGAAAAATCAGCCAAGTAATAACGAAAAACTTGGGTGGTATATCTGTTTTGGAGAAGGCTCAAAAAAGACACTAGAGTTGGTAAGTTACTTACCAAGTTCGGATTGGACACGAAACTTTTAAGCGGATTTGGAGCAGTGGGTTTTGAAGCTCTACCCCCATTATCGCCCGTGGCATAGCTAATTGAGGTGAAGAACATATTGATATAGGAAATTATTTGTTTGTTTATCATACAAGAGCTAAGCTGAACTTGATCTCTAACTAGACAGCTATATGTGCGGCTAATTGTTGAATGTTTTGGTACATTTGCCACCCGGTACACTAGCACTGTATCAAGAACAAGAAAGCATCGGAAGTTTTTAGACATCCCTCCAACAAGAACAATCCGACCTAATCTAAGCTTCACCCGGCTAACAAAAGATTTAACAAAAGCAAAGAAACTAGGGCTACTAAAAAACGAGTGATCTTCAATCTTCCAACAAGGTTTCCCGTATCCTTTTATCTCCGGTATTCCCATCAGGCCATCATCAAGGATGCACACAGCCACAAAACTTAATCACTTTGAAACAGATCTAAGTGAGTTTAATCATCTCTAGTTTATTCACTTTTCACTACGTTCGATCTTACTCGTTTTTAAATCTATCATCCCTGATTTGGGATGCATTTTTTATTCTCAAGTGGTTTTGTGTCAATTTGGTTAATGATTGAACTAAGTAGGGATAAGGGTCAGATAGGGTCTCGAACTTGGAAAAAAATGTGAAATAAGGCCATATTTAGGATGTTATGTCCGGCTGACGTCATTTGGGGCGGTTCCCGCTGGAATTTTTTGATGGAATTTTTTGAGAATCTTATTCATTAAGTCTAGTTTACTCATATCAAATTTGAACTAAAAATTCAATCGGGAAGGCATTCAAATGAATTCTTGAAGAGAACTGCGCTTTTAACTGCACAGTTATTTTCAAGAATTCATTTGAATGCCTTCTCGATTGAAGTTTTAGTTCAAATTTGATATGATTAAACTAGACTTAATGAATAAGATTCTCAAAAAATTTCATCAAAAAATTCTACCGGGAACTGCCCCAAATGGCATCGGCGGGACAGAGCATCCTAAATATGGCCTTATTTGACATTTTTTTTCAAGTTTGAGGCCCTATCTGACCCTTATCCCAACTAAGTATTGGTTTTTAAAGATACGTAATATGATTGATGTCTTTTCAATATTTTAAATTGTGATTTCTCTCATTATCAGCTTGTTGAATCTCTCAAACTGAAAATCATGATTATTTTGTGAAACATTTGTTTAATTTTTGCTTATCAAGTCATGCTTATAATTAGAGTTTATGAACTAATAATTTAGTATATATTGAGATGTACTACGTAAATTAAGGAAACTTATCTTGAAGGTGATATCTTTGTACAATGTTTGATAAGAAAACAATTGAACCTGAAAAAAAGTTGGATAAAAACTGGCAATTATATTTGATTTGAGAATCTTGAAGACAATCTTGATACATTATTGTGTAATCTTTGATTTGGCAATTATATTTGATTTGAAAAACACTTATCAGCCAACCCAAAAAGATGGAGTAGTCACAGATATAAGAGAGAAACAATGAGACATATACGGAGTAAATAAATAGGTTTAGCCGCAAAGAGAATGCGGGGTCAATTAAGCAGGCAAACCACACCTGAGACAACAAGCAACGCCAATTCAATTTTGGCGTGAGTTTTTCAAAATACTTTTGATCTTGGTACTTTAATAAACTTCAGAAGTTAGATGATCTTATATAAATTGGACTTTTCTGTACAAAGATATTTATTTGGCTACATAAGGAGTATCAGTAGTATAGTGATCACTCTGAGTGTCTATGTCATTTCAAATTTGTATAGACATGTGCCTCCTTTCTATTTGTTGCTTTATCTTTAATTTGTGTTGTATTCCCTTGATGCATTTTAATTTACCATATTTCCAAGGTAATTTTTTTTGGTAAAATCAGTAATTGCCTAAGAATTTGGTAGTACATCTCAGTCTAGTACCAGTAGTATTCTAGCTTTCCAAACTCCAATGTCCATAGCATTATCCTGCAATGTTGATAGTACAAAATGAAACAACACATGCAAATATTTTTACATGTAGTACTTCAAGATAAAATGGTGCAACTTATAAGATCATACTCTCCATAGTCCTTCAAAGCATATGAAACTTTATTTTCAGAGAAGCTAGCGGAAACATGCAATAAAAACTAAGGAAAATAATCTATAACACAGCACAAATGCATAGTGCAAACCTGCTGCAACAAAGCATCATTATTAGGCTTAGGATTCCGTCTTAATATTTGGGTATAATTTGCACCCTGAATCAGTTTTAGCTTTTAAATCTGGACTATTCAAACTGCTAAGAAACGGTTGCACTATGTGAGTGAACTGAAACCACATGCTTTTTGATCATGTGATCAAAGAGAACAGGAGTGGAGTGTAATGCTAGTTAAATCCCAATATGTATTTTTGGGTGTTGATGTGGGATTTTCGTGCTTCTAATACTGCATATACTTGTCAATTGAAATAGCTTTTTCCGTTAGATTTGGGTCCCAAAATCTTAGGCTGACTACTTTGCTAAAGATGTGTCATGAATTCTCTTGAGTCTCCTGATGTACCAAAGATGTGATCTAATTGACACATTATCTTATGGGATCACTGTTTACCTGATGAATATTGAAGAGCACAACAACACTATTAGATGGTTTTAGGAGAGGAAAACATACAAGATGGAAGCTTAATGATGGTATGTATGACATCACGCAAGTAGGTCACTCAGTTGAGCCTCATGGAGAAGTGGTGCCCCCTTTAACCAATGGAACTATGCCTAGACGCTTGCTCAAAACTATGGAATAACATAAGAGCTGCTCATTTGGCTCAAAGAGGCTATATGGGTACGCAGATTGAAGTGCCATTTTCATTCCTCCGGTTTTTCTATGTAACCAAGATTTTCATAGCAGCCTTATGTGAATTTTTGAGTTACATACCTTACTCCAATAAAAAGCATTTTTCATATTCATTTGGTGATTTGGTGCACTTGTTGGGGTTAAATGGTAGTTTAAAAATAAGCTTAAAGTTGTTTAGTCAGGTTAGTCCTTGTTCAATTTTAAGCCGATTTTTGGAAATTAAGCATCGAAAAGAAAAATGAGAAAGAGTTGTTTCGGCTTTCGAGTAAAAAAACATCAAAGTTCTTGTCATTTATAGATATTATCAATCCAATTTCACGGGTTAGAATATTTGGCAATGGAATTTTTATAGAAAAGAAATACTTGTTTTTAGATATAACTTTATTTTCGAATATCTATAATCAAACCAGTCTGCTGTGTGTGCTATATAAATCACTTTGGGAGCTTTGTAGGAGGATAAAGTCATAAAACCTTATAGATAATGATACACTTGTTTATCTCTACCTCTCATCGCTCTCTAAAATGTAAATGTAGAGCTCATAATAATATAATATATCATATCAAATATGGAGCCCGTTTGGTAGAAGGAAAATCGGCTGATTTGGCTGATTCTGCTTAAATTTCTGAAGTTCTGGCTGAAGTGGCTGCATTGGCTGATTCTGCTGATTTAAGAAAAAATATTTTTAAAATATATTTTATTAATAAAATAAAGAAAAAATTATATGTAAAAATAGCTAAAATGGTCATCTACTGTAACTTCAGCCAATACAGCCAAAAAAGTAACTCTAACCTTACTTTTTCTGCTTATTACACAATTCAGCGCGCTAAAGAAAAAATTACGTGTTTGGTGGAAAAGTTGGCTGATAAGCCGAAAAAAGTGTTACCAAACCGCACCATCATTTCGTTATTTATACTTCTCATTTTCATGTTTTCATTCAAACTGGATAAGGTGTGCTAGTCCCTTGGACTTGACTAAACCTAGTAACCCATAGCTAAACTAGTTCGGTATTGTTAAAAGGATGTTTGTTTACATTAATAGTCATGGACCCGGGCCGGGCCGGTTCCGGTTCCGGTCCGGGCCCAGCCGGGCTTTTTTTTTTGGGAAGGAAGGCCCGGGACCGGCCCGGGTAGCCACCGGGTCCGGTCCGGGTCCAGGCCGGGCCGGGCCTCCGGTTCGGTCATTTTTTTTTTTTTTTTGCTTTCCTAACCCCCCAACTCACCCCCCCAAACCCCTCCTAACCATCAAGCCCAACCCGGCTAACCCCAAAAAATGAAAAAAAAAATAAAAAAAATCAATTCGGCCCGGGCCCGGGCCCGACCCGGCCGGGCCGGTTCGCCAAATACAAGGCCCGAGCCCGGACCCGCCCCCCCACCGGGCCTAGGCCCGACCCGGACCCAGACCCGAGAACCGGGCCGGTTCCGGGCCCACACAGTGGCGGGCCGGGCGGCCCGAACGGGGTCCATGCCTATACATTAACTGTGGTTCTTTTTACACGAGTTTTATTTCAAAGGGAGATTGAGTTTTAAGTCCGCTGGTCCATTGCTGATAAGGTAAAGTGGACTTTGTTTTGTTCATGAACCCAATTGAGAAAGTCGAGAATGCACAAAATTATATTTGTCCCGTTAGCCTAAATATAAAGTGTTTGGGACCAATACCAAATTATACTGAGACTAATGATGTTTATTTTAGAATTCATGATTTTCTTCTTGTTACGCCGAATGGTTAAAGTGTTGGAAATATAAAAGAGTACAAATGTTTAATTGATTTTTATAATTCAATTTGGAATTATATATTTATAGTAGTTTTTCATGAAAAGAAGAGGAGAAAACACGTTTTATATGGTTAAAATAAAACATATTCATCGTTGCGTCGGTAGATGTCAAGTACAAAGAAGCGTATGATGAGCAATGACATAATTGATAAGAAGAAATAGAAAATTGATGAAGTAATTGTTATATTCTGTGACATCTATTTGGCAACATGAATTAATCATGCCATTATTTCAACATTTTAAATAACAATAATGCATTATTCTTGCCATTAAGTTAATAATGAATATGATAGTTTTATTTGAACTATAGTATAATGATGTAACCATTATAAGAAAACGAAGAAGAAATTAATACAGGATCAAGTGGAATCGGGCTAAGATCCGGCTAAGCAAAATGAAGTCTACACTAAAAAGATGAATACCAAACTTCTTAAGGAAAGCTCCATCAACATTGACTATGGCCCAACCCTCCGGTGGACGTATCACTTTTAAACGTTACTAAAAGTGATACTGTTTACATTAAAGAGTAAGCAGTTTAAAATGAAAGAAGTTTTTTTTTTTTGAAAAAATGAAAGAAAGTTAATCAAAGAGAATTTGGAATTTCAAATAATGAGAAATCAATCATGAAATCCAGTTCATGAAGTATTACCCAGTTGTTTTTGAAAAAATGTACACAAGAGGATCATTTTATTCTCAGTCACAAACATTATTATTTGTCACATTTTGTTCCCAATTGTTTGAGTATTCAGCAATGCATATCACACTAGCTAACGATGACATCAGTGAATTTAGGAAAATATTAATTGCATAAAAACAATGCTAACAAAGAAAATGTCATTTTCGCATAAACACGATAGCAATAGACCATAATTCACGAGAGAAATACCCAGTCTAATACAACTTTTTCATTAACATTTTAGCATGAAAATAAAACGACATCTAGATTCAAATCTAAAAAATGAAAAATGCCAAATCATAACAATCATACAATGTAGATAGTACTCCCATAGTAAAAAACACCATAACATAAATTAATCCGAATCACTCTACATAATCACTCTACATAATTGTACTACTTTGGAGGAAT